CATTATTATGATCAAGGATTGAATAATGGTTCATGTTGGAATTGTTCTCAAGAATATTCACATATGTGTTGTGCAGCATGTAAGAAAATTGCATCTTTATGTGAATGTGAATATATTTGTGGATATACAAAACTATCAGAACAAACAAACAAACGAGGAGAATATACTCAATTCATAAAATGTAAATATCATACAGATAATATAGATGATGTAGTTCATGATTGTAAAGGAATGATAAAACAAGAACATGTAATATTATTTGTTAATGAAACTGAAACTAAAGAATTTTATTATGGTAATATCACAAGACAAAAAAAATGTTATCGCTGCAAATCTTTTGGACATTTTTCACGAGAATGTAAAAATTTTACATGTTTTAGTTGTGGAGGAGAAGGACATCTTGCAAGAAATTGTTCACTATTATATATTGATAATGTATAATTTATTTTTCATTTATTTTGTATATATTTATATTATTTATCTGAGTAATAAAATTATTCTAATCAGTGCTAAGAAAGTACCGATTAGAAATTTAAAAGCGTAACTTAAAAATAAGTACAAAAGTTGTTTCATAAATAGAAATGAATAAAAAGATAAAAGATAATGAAAAAAACAAATTACGTAAGAAGATATCTGATTATATTGTTAATACTTCCTGGAATATCAAAAAAGGTGATGATTCAAATGAAAAATTGTTCAAGATACAATATCTGTTTGAGATGAAACAAAAGAAAAAAAAGATTGATGTAAAAGAGTAGAAACGTGTAAATTATAAATTATTAAGCAAAAAAGAAAAGAAGTATTTTAATGATTTAAATCTTAGTTAGTATTTGATACCAACTAAGATTTTAAATACGTAACCAAAAAATGTTGTCAAATATCGTGATTGATGGTAAATCAGCATCTGGTAAGTATTTTTCTTACTAAATATCTTTTGTTGAGCGTATAATCGATATATAAGTCACACTGTTAGGAGTGAGCCTGTTTGGTTCATAGTGTCTCGTTAGTGAGTGTAAAGTTGTCCATAGTTATATGAAGGAATTGCCTAATGTAAATATTGATAATTGTGAAGAAGCATCTGATATTTATTTTTTATTTTTAGGTAAAACAACTTTAGAAAACTTTTAGCAGAAAAACTTGGATATGTTTTTCTTGATAGTGAATACTTTTACAGATATTTTGGTAGTTTGAAAGATGTAACGAATCTTTCAGAAACTATTAATAAATATAAAAGACATATTCAAGATGCAGAAGATTTTATTGGTATCATAAATCGAGAAGTTGAAAATGTTGATGAGGAACAATATCTAGAACAAGGAAGAAGAGCATCAATTATCGCTCAAGATCCTGATATCAGACAAGCTATAACTGAATTAATAAGAGATTTAACTATCAGAAAAGGATTTATTGTAACAGGACGAGATGCTACAACAAATATTCTTCCAGATGCAGAAGTAAAAATTGTGATCGATGCAAATTTAGAAACACGTGTGATGAGAAGAGCACAACAAATGAATCTAACTACAGAAGAAGTATTATGTGATCTTTCTTATTGAGACTTAAAATCTTTCAATCTTATTGAAGAAGCAAAAAAAGTATCAAAAGAAATTGATACAACAAATCTGAGTATTGAAGAATCTTTAGAAGAGTTAATGAAACATGTATTATGGAAACAGTTTCATATTCGTTATGATAAATTATTCAAGATTTTTTTTATTATATTTATTATTGTAGTAGCTAGAATTTTCAAGAATATAATCTGATCAGTATGTAAGTACCGATTAGAATTTTAAGTATGTAATCAATAAACAAAATGCCAAAAGAAAAACAAACAAAACGTATTATTAAAAAAAAATCGAGTTCTGATCAGGAATTACTTAGTATATTGAGTTTAACAAATTGGAAGCTTAAAAATAATACTGAACAACAAGTATTTGTAAAAGCATTTTCAAACAAAGAAGAACGTCTTGAGTTTATGCAAAATTTCTATTTGTATAAGAAAACAGTGATTATTTTTATATTAGGGAGTTATTATCTGTAACACTGGCTGATAATAACAGGGACCTTCATCATGCTACTTATTATAAAATTAATTACATCTACATTAGACTTTTATTCTCTTATTAAAAAAATATTTATCATATAATTAACATAAAAATTTTTTTAAATCTGACTCAGGATAACTTTAAAATTATAAAAACTCTAAGATTTTATTTTCTTACTAAAAAAAAAATGAAACGAATGAAAAAACAAATTTCTAATTCTAACAAAAAAATTAAAGTTGAAATTTACCCTATTCAACTTGTTTTTAATTATATTGATGATCCTTTTACTTTTCAAAAAGCATCTTTAGTTTGTAAAAAATAGCAAAATATACTTGATAACCATAATTTTTGGAAAAATCTTGGTGAACGTCTTGATCTTGAAGAACCAAACCCAAAAGCAAAAAAATATAAAACTTGGAAATCAATATTTGTTAAAAATATTAAAAAACTTTGTATTTGTAAAAAAAATATTAAAACTAAAAATTCAGATTTAAAAATTATCAACTTTAAACTTAGAATTCTAAGTTACTATTGTCTTGATCGTTCAAATTTTTATAAAGCTGAAATATATAGTAATTTTTGTCAATGTGTTAGAGATGAACTTGAAATATTATATCAACAAAGCATTAAGTATAATGATTTTTGTAAACTATGTAATAATAAAGATTTAATTATCAATTCAGTTAAACAACTTATCAGAAAAATTTGCGATAAAAAAAAAAGAATTTTTGAATTTTCTGATTTTATTGAAAAAGATTTTTTTAAAGTTATTATTCGAAACTTATATAATATTATTAATAATAAATTAATATATATTGAAAGATTAGGTGGAATTGTTAAAGATTAGAATTTTGAAGTTAATTATAGTAAAAATTTATATTAATAAACTTTTTATTATTAATTATTTGTAATCATTTTCTTTAATAAAATTATTTTTTCAATGCTTCTAAAAATGCTGCCCAAAGATTGTCTTTATGTTTTCTGCGCCAAATAAATTCTTTTAAATATTCTTCTATTAATTTTTTATCTCGATTACGAACTGAAATAAATATTTTAAGAGCTCGCTACGTGCCTTCTATAGTATTTGAATGTACACCTGTACCTCTTTCAACTCTATTTCTTAAATGACAGACACGACGATGTTTTAAATTTAATTCTTTAAGAGAATTTATATATGATTTAAAATGATCTGTATGAACTATACTTCCTGGTTTAACATAT